TCTGAAATTTTTCACGGGGCAATGATATTCACAAAAGTTAATTGATATCTGCCCTCTTCATCCTCCTTCTCTCCACCACCTACTCATCCTTCCATTTCCAACTCAGTTTGAACCTGTTAATAAAACCTCCCTTACTAGGTTGTTCCAGTCCACATACATGAAGTACTTTGCTCAACACCTTCAATATATTTTGTCTGTGCATTTCATTTTGGCATTTCATGTAAACGTCTATCTTTCTACCTATTTTATCTACACAGATATAGAAATAGATGGACACACACCAATATACATCTATATACACACCCATACAAGCACATATGTGTGTACATATATGTATGTGTAATTACCTGTATATATGTCTGTGCCGGAATTGTAGTTAGACTTGGGTTTGAATTCCACCTCTGATGCTTAATAACTATATGCTCATAGGTAGGTCACTTAACCATTCTGTGGCTCAGTTTCCTCAACTGTAACTTGAAGGAGTAGGATTGAATGACTTCTGAGGGCCCTTCCATCTTTAAAACTGTGATTCTCTGACATAAGTTGAGGTTGGAAACATATAATGGAACCAGATTTGGGAGACCTTGAATATCAGTTAAGAGGTTTATGTTTTGTTCAGTGGGCAGTGAGGAGACATCCAAAAAAAAATGGAGATGATAATACCAGTATTACTTAACTTTCAGTATGGTCATGAAACTCAAAAAGAAAACAATCTGTGTAAAACTGTTTTAGACTTTAAAGCGCTACATTAATGTCAATGACCATTAACTCTGAATCCCAGAATTGGGTTTTGAAGGGACCTCAATAGCCATCTGGTCTAATCCATAAACCAAAGTAGTCTCCACTATAACAAATCTGACACGTCATTGTACGGCCTCCGCCTGAAGGCCGCTAAGAAGTGGAAACCCACCACCTCTTGAGGCAACCTCTTCCACTTTGGGGCAGTGTTAATTTTTGGAAAGTATTTCCTGATTACAAGCCTTACTTGACTTCTTTAAAACTTTTTTTGGTCTGTTTTTTTGAGGCAATCGAGCTTAAGTGACTTGCCCGGAGTCCCACAGCTAGTAAATGTCTGAGGCCAGATTTGAACTCAGGTCCTCTTGACTCTAACGCCACCTACCTGCCCCGACTTCTTGAAAACTTCTACTCATTTCTCCTAGTTCTGCCCTCTTGCCCAAAAAGTCTAATCCAGGGGTGAGGAAACTGCAGCCTCAAGGCCAGGTCCTCAAGTGCTGTCCTTTGACTGAATCCATACCTGTGAAGTTTACATTCAGTTGAAGGATGGCACTTGAGGACCTAGAGGGTCACATATGGCCTCAAGGCTGCAGGTTCCCCACCTCTGGACTCTAATCCTTCTTCCAGTGACAGGCCCTCAAAGACAGTGCTGATGTTCCTTGAATCTTCTTTTCTCCAAGGTAAATAGGCCCATTTCCTTCAATGGATCCTAATACGTCATGAACTCAAGTCCTTTCACCCTCCTGGTTGCTGTCCTTAAGGTACTTTTCCTTGTCAGTGTCCTTCTTAAGCTGTAGTGTCCAGATTTTACCGCAGTACTCCAGGTGAGACATGAGGGCAGATTATAATGGAACTATCACCGTCCTGTTCCCTGTTAATACAGCCCAAGAGCACATTGGCTTTTTTAGCTGCCACGTCACACTGCTGATTCATTTTGAGATTGAAGTCCACTAAAACTAAAAATCTTTTTCAGAACTACTATAGATAATATAGATTTGCATTTAGTTAGCTTTCAATACTCATTCAGCAAAACTTTGTTGAGCTATGTGTAAGGCCATGTAATAGGTTCTCTGGGAAATGAAAAGATAAGACATGGCACTTCTCCAGGAAGGGGAAGGGGAAAGGAATAAGCATTTATATAGCACCTACAGCATGCTAGGTACTATGCTAAGTGCTTTACAAATATTATCACATTTAGTATTTAAGGAGATTTTGAATACAGTTGAGATAAGATAATAGGAATTTGAGAACTGGACGGCATCATGTGATTTGTAGCTCACAGGGAGCTACATCCTCTCAGCCTTGAGAGCAGTTTGAGACTGTCTTCATCTTTGATGCCAAAGGTAGAATTATTTATTAAAGAGTTACTAATGAGATACCATTGGTGTGAGAAGAAGAGGGACCTCAAGAACTGAGTCAGAAAAGTTTAGGGTTCCAGGAGCAATGGTTAAAAAGAGGGGAAAAAAAGATGAACTAAGAGGTGACAGAGGAAGGAAAGCTGTAGGAGAGCTGTCGGTCCCTATAGGCATTTTTCATAGCAGAAGACTTCAATTGAAGCTACCAGTTATGCGGGCCTCTTCAATTCCTTAGGGAAGTTCCAAGAAGAGGTGTGCTATCCTGCTTACTTCCTCTGCTGCTGTCTGTCTATTAACAGACATGATAACAATTTGCATGTTTCTTTACCCCAGTGTTTCTGGAAACCTGAATTTTTCCTTTAATCATAAAGCTTCTAGGAGTTAGTTATAGATCAGCATGCATTTAAATTAGGGCTCAGTGCTAACTCTCTGCTTAAATGTTAGGAATTTTCCTAGCTGAGGGCTTTGAGCTATTGTAATTGTACTCCTAATTTTTAATTTAACAACAATGTAGCATACCCTCTGGGGTTACTTTCCCATTTCCCATTCCCATAAGTTGTGTCCCAAGAAGGCAGCTGACTATTACCTTGCTTAAGATTCTAGGAGTTAAAAAAAAAAAGATTCTAGGAGTAATCCTGAGGAGTTAGGATTGGGTTAGAGATGGAAAATTTAAAGGAACTTTAAAGAATAAGTATTTTTGTAATTAAGCGTTTTGTAAACATGTGCAACACTTGCTTTGTTCATGCGTATGAACAAAGTTTGAAAAATATCGTGTTGTCCTCTTGGTTTAAAAGTCAAATGTATATATATGTGCGTGTATGTGTGTGTATATCTATCTATCTATATCTATATATAAAATTACTGTCTCCGTCCTCTTGCTATTTACTCCCTTTCTTTCCCCTCTTGGAGAACTGTAGTCTTCACAAGTAGCCAATTAGTATTCAAATATTCATGAACTTGGTCTTTGGGGTCTCATAAGACCCCATTTGATGTATTCTCCCAAATATTGATAAATGAGTTAATATCCCCCCCCAAATTAACCAATTAATATCAAGTAGCTTTTACAAAAGGATATTTACTGAGAAAATATAGCAAGGACAGAAGTACAGCAACATTCTCTGCCCCCCCCAGCTGCCCCAAACTCATAGGTACACTTTCCCCTCTATACAGCCATGTCCATCTCTCTTTTTATTAATTAATTTATTTTTAGTTTTCAACAATCACTTCCATAAGCGTTTGAGTTTAAATTTTTCTCCCTCTCCTTCCCCGCCTCCCTCCCCAAGAAGGCTTCCATGAAATCTGATATAGGCTCTACATATACATTCCTATTAAACATATTTTCATATTAGGCAGGTTGTAAGGAAGAATTAGAACCAAAAGGAGGAACCACAAGAAAGAGGAAACAAAACAAAACAGAAGGAAAAAAAAAGAGCAAATAGTATGCTTCGATCTGCATTCAAACTCCATAGTTCTTTCTCTGGATGTGGATAGCATTTTCCATCATGAGACTTTTGGAGATGTCTTAGATCCTTGCATTGCTGAAAGAGCTAAGTCTATCAAAGTAAGTCATCTCACAATGTGGTTGTTATTGTGTACAATGTTCTCCTGGTTCTGCTCACTTCACTCAGCATCAGTTCACACAAGTCTTTCTAGGTTTTTCTGAAGTCTGCTTGCTCATCATTTCTTATAGTACAATAATATTCCATTACATTCATATACCACAACTTGTTCAACCATTCCTTAATTGATGGGCATCCTCTCAATTTCTAATTCTTTGCCACCACAAAAAGAGCTGCTATGAATATTTTTGTGCATATTTTTCCCATTGTTATGATCTCTTTGGGATACAGCCCTAAAAGTGTTATTGCTGGGTCAATTTTATAATCCTGTGGGCATAGTTCCAAATTACTCTCCAAAATGGTTGGATCATTTCACAACTCCGTCAACAATGCATTAGTGTTCCATTTTTCCCACATTTTCTCCAACATTTATCATTTTCCTGTTTTGTCATGCATATTCATCTCTTAACTGGTATAGCTCCTGAATCTCCTGACTACTTTTCCACCTCCACCCCAGCAGCTTCTTATGCTGGAGACACCTGCCCCTCTGCAGACTCTTCATCTGGTTGGTGAGTTCCTCCTTGGAACTTTCATTTGAGAAACTACCCACACCACCAATGTTCACTTCCAAACCAGTTCAATTCCTGACTGTCTGGGTGATTTTTTTATTTTGTCCATTCTGGGTACCTTCCTCCTCCCCTTTTCAACTTCCTTTTATGCGTTGTTTTCTTCCAGCGGCATGCAAGCTCCTTAAGGGCAAGGACTATTTTTGCCTATGTTTATATTCCCAGCATTTAGCACAGTGCCTGGCAAATTGTAAGCATTTAATAAATGCTTTATCTAATTTAATCAATACTCCCTCTTGTTGCTGGGGAGAGTAGACTTAAACGTAGAATAGTTACCATAGGGGCAGCTAGGTGGCACAGTGGATAGAGCTTTTGCTTTGGAGTCAGGAGGAGCTGAGTTCAAATCCAGCTCAAATCTGGCCTCAGAGACTTCGTACTTATTAGCTGTGTGACCCTGGGCAAGTCACTTAACCCTAATTGTTTCATTAAAAAAAATAAGAATAGTTACCATAACATATCTTCTGCTAACATAGGGAGTGGTACTTCCTAGCACAGGAAATCATTTTCTCTCTTTCCATTGTCGCCACCAAGTTCATCTCTTTTTTTTTTCTTGCTTAGCACAGTTCCTGTACATAGTAAGCATTTCATAATATCTGTTGACTGATTGTAACAGGATCAGGCTGATGAAATCCCCAGAGATAAAGGGGGGTGCAGAGGAAGGGAAAGTACCCATAATAAGCCTATGACACCTTCCACAATAATACTCACAAGCACTTTCTTGAAGGCACGACCTTTGCTTTATATTCTGTTATTCACAGGACCTGATCTAGATGTCTACTCAAATGTAAGTAGAATAATTAATTCCTTTTCTTAATTGTTAAATGTGACAATTTTATAAAAATAAAGACCATTTTTTAAGATAAGGACCTGCAGAAGCCTAAACTAGTAACAGAATCTTGGGGCTTACTCTAGCTACAAAAGAGCACCAGCCTAGAGTCTCTGTGGCAATATCTTGCTATACTGCATTGTTAGCTCAATAGAGATGCTTTTGGAAGTTGGGGGCACTCAGCACAAATCAGTGGATCAAACAGCTTTCAAACAATGAATTCAGCCAGGCAATTTCCTCTTGCTGTGATAAAACACTTGTCTGTGAAGATTTTACTCTTTGGGGTTGTAAGAATGGTAACTTGGAGAATGGAGCCTCTTTGACGCCAGCTTTCCTAAGCTTCTCCCTTCCTTGCCTCTTCAAAGTTCAGATGTATGGAGCATGAAAGGCATCTGACAGAGGACGCTTCTGTGAAATGGAGGCTTTTACCCTTAGGTCACAGTTAAGCTTTCCTATTTGTTCTTGCTTCTGTGACCATGGGTGTATGCCAGAGAGTGGACTCATATATTTTATTGGTCCGTTGAAAATTTATAAACATAGGCAACAAATTTACCTTTGTGAATAGTGTATTGTAACTTTAGGAACATAGGATACTTTGTGTCTTGATTGATACAGAGGCCAAGTGTGGCTGGGAAGGAAAGATCCCACAATTGTGCCATTTGGCTTCCAGTATTTGGCCCTTTATTTAGCTAAAACACCAAAACCATTAATCAGTCCTCAAACTGCAAAAAAGGGATGTAGTGCTCCATCATTACCACTTTGAGTTGCTTTCTTGATTGAAAAAACAAAACAACTTTTCTTCCTTGGTCAAAAAACAGGTCTCTAAACTAAAATTATATGAAGACCCATTTATAAGTGGCTACCAGAAAGTATTTCTGACTGCACTGAAGTATGTTTTCTTCATAGCCAGAGGGAAAGAAAAAGATAATTCTTTGAGCTGATATTTCTGAGATAGTTTAATTTGGTGAAATATTTGCAAAGCACTCCCAAAAGTCATTCTTACATATGATAGTATAAAATTCTGTGCCTCCAATTGAAAGCTTTAGTTTAAAAGAAAAAAAGGGATTTTCTTCCTGCTCAGAACTAGAGAGAACCAATCTACATAAGTTTCTGTCCTAAACCCTCCAATATGAAATTTTCAGCACACTATACAAATAAGTACCTTCTTTGGGGGGGAAAAAAGATGCATCTGGGAGGAGGAAAGTTGGAGTATGGCTGCTTTTAAATAATGTAGAGGCATTCAAGACTGCCTTGAGAAATGGAGGCTGGATATGAAAGATGGCTACAGGATTCACTTGATACTAAAAAGAAACTTAAAACCTCCAGCACTGAATTAGCAGGTGTATCTGTATTTCCTTCATTGTCAACTTAATCAGATGTAATCTTTAGAACTGCTGAGAAAGCCTTTTGAATTTTAAGACTCTCATACTTCTGTACCCATATGGCACTGTACTTTTAATTCCTAATTCACATTTTCCTCATAATGATTCTGTGAAGTAGATTCTGCAAATAAAATTAGCTAAATTTTACAGAAACAGAGGCATAGAGAAGGTGACACTTCCCTCTTACTCTATGTTGAATTTGAATAATGGAAATGTTTTTGGTGTTTTCAGGACTTGGGAAAAGGGGACACGGTAAGAGAACAGCACTTCTAAGATGAAGTGGTAATTCCCACCCTCACCACCAATCATCTCCCCTTTATTGATGAAAATAATAATTGTCCTCATTGGTTCCCATACCTTTTGAATGACGAAATTACCAGTAAAGTAAGTAATAACATTATTAGCCACTCTGCTTTTAACAGAGAGAAGCAGATGTAGGGATAACTAAAGTGCTCCATAACAGATAAATCATTACTTTTAAAGTCTGGCCCCTTCCTACCTTTCCATTTTTCTTGTATCTAACTCTCCATGTACTCTGCAATCCAGTGACACTGGCCTCCTTACTGTTCTTCTTACAAGGTACTCTGAGCATTTTCAGTGGCTGTCTCTCCATTCCTGAAAAGTTCTTCCTGCTCATTTCTGACTGCCAGCCTTCCTCCCTGGCTTCCTTCAAATCCCAGCTAACATCTCACTTTCTGCAAGAAGCCTCTCCCATTCCTTAATTTTAGTGCCTTCTCTCTCCAGCTGCTCCGAGTTTATCCTATATACTTGTTTGTATGTAGTTTTTGCATGTTGTGTCTCTCATTAGACTGAGCTCCCTTAGGATAAGGACCACTTTTTGCCTTTCTTTGTATTCCCAGCACTTAGCATAGTGCCTCACCCATAGTAGGTATTTAATAAATGCTAGTTGAAGTTAACTCTGTGTTAAGCTTATGGCTTCTTTCTCAAACTCCTCATTTATTTCCTTTTCCTGTCTAGGTGGTCCATACCAGAGATGTCAAACATGTGGCCCATGGACCACATGTAGCCCAACACTCTGTACTGTGGCCCAAATCAGATTAAAATGTAATTGGACAATATTTAACACAATAAATAAAAAATATATAATATTAATGTGTGGTTTGCCAAGTCAGTACGTGGCCTACAGGGATCCTTATGCATGATTTAGTATTTCTCTCTCCACCTCCCCCCACCCCATTTCATTGAGTTTGACTTCATTGGTCTGTACGATATACTAATTACAAAATAACATCTGTTTCTGTCCTCATTGATTATTCCTCCCCAAATGCTTTCTAAACCATGCTTTCTCTCTGGATCCTGGATTTCTTCACATGAGTATATCTTTTTACTATACAATGAAATAAATACTGACAGACAGACAAACAGATAATTATCATCTTTCTGGCAACAATCTTGTCCAACTTGGCTAGGCTAGTTCCCAGCCAGCAGAGACTTGTTATGTCAGCTGTTACAACTTGGTAGTACCTGATGGAGTCTATATTATTTTTTAAGTTATTAATATTTTAGAGTTCCATATCATATGTCCTCTATAGAACTCAAAGGAATTCAACTCTGGAAACACAGTATTCTTTGCCTATATAAGTTACTGAATCTTTTCATAAGTATCCAAGGCATGTTAGAGAACCTAAAGATTTAATATGATGAAACAGATTTATTAGTGAATGGACTTTGAGAACTGATAGAACTTAAAGTATGGTCCAGGGACCCCCAAAGGTCACCCCTTTTCAGGGAGTCCACAAGATCAAAATTATTTCCATAATAATAAGATGTTTTAATTTCTAATATGGTAAATATTGGTAGATATAACACAAACAAAAGCTCTTTGGAAGAAAGTCCTTAATAGTTTTTAAGAATATATAGGAATCTGGAGACCAAATGTTTGAGAACCTTGACTTGCACGTGAATTGAATTGGTCATCTAGTCTTTGCTTCCATACTTCCAATGAGAAAAAAGTCACTATTTCCAAAGACAACTATTCTATCTTCGGATAGTGAGGACCTTTCGAAAGTTATTCAAACTGATTAGATAACTAGCATTTCCTCATTCATGCTTTATTGGAGGTTGCCCACAAAGAAAGAGGAAACAAGTTTCTTCTTCATTAGATCCCACTCTAAAGCATTTCTTGACTTCTTCCTCTTTCACATTCTCTGCTTCTATCCCTCTGGCCTTCCATAATCTCAGTGTTCCCTTCTCTTTCATTTGTTCCTTTCTCCTGCTGGAAGTATAGAGTGTTTTGGAGGAACTTCTCTAACTGGAATTGAATAGGAGGAAGTGTGTCCCTGTCTCTCTCCTTCTTAATGAACTGTTCAAGACAGTTGTCACCCTTCATCTTTAGCAACAATCTTTTTTTCTTACCAGTTTTTTAGTAGTGTTTTAGAAGCAGGAGGCCACCAGGGGAAGCAATAGAGGGAAGTCACAGAATCTTTCAGTTTAAAGGGTTGCTAAAGGCCATATAGATCTGACTAAAAATTCCTGTAGGATGTACCTGAAATATCACCCCCTTTCTACTCAAGGAACCTCAGAGATAGAGAACTACTACTTCCCAGGGCACCATATTCCACTTTCAGACAGCTCTAATTCTTAGGATGCTTTCTCTTATATAAAGCCTGAACTGGCCTTTCTGCAACTTCTACCTATTTACTTCTGGGGCCAAGCAGAATGACGCCCATTCCTCTTCTTCTTGATACCCCTTGGTACTTGAAGTTAGCTATTTTATCCTTCCTATGTTTTCTCTTTGTCTGCCATTTGCTTGACCTTCCTCTGGACTGGCTTACCAACATGTATACCAAAATGTAGTGCCTAGAAACGAGTGCTATAGTCTAGATGTGGTCTGACCAGAGCAGAGTATAAAAGAATTATTTTCTTTCTAATTATATATGTTGTACCTAAAATCGAATTAGCTTTTGGTTTTTGCTTCCTCTCCTCCCCCCCAAAATTTACCTTATATATATTTTGGGGGGGGAGTGTAATGTGTAACTGGCTTGACTAGCTGGCCTTTGCAATCCCTTCCAACTCAGAGATTCTGTGATAATAAAACCTCCTGTCAGTTTCAAATGACCTCCAGGTTTGTTATTGTTGTTGTTTTTTAACTCAAACCTTTTCTTAGTGCACTTCTTGATCAGAAGACACCAGTGTGTCTGCAGTCACCCTGAAACATAAATAATTCAATGAAAAGCCTCAAGATTTGCTTCCTAGGGAATCTTATCAGAAAGTTCACTGTTTTTGTTTCTAAAATGGAGTTGAGATCCTAGAGCATTGATGTTATCTTCAGGGGCAAGGACTGGCCAGGTAAGCCACTGCTAGGGGAAAAAATAACCTATCATTGGGGAGAACTGCCATCCCATCCCAAGAAGTGACAAGGTTACATACCACTCCTTTGAGAGCCGGAGCATCCTCAACTTCTTCATCTGTTTCCAAGTTGGTATAAAACGTCCCTCTGCTCTAGAGGATTTCAGACAAAGTTGTGTATGGATGCTGTCTATATAACTATTTGGTGATCTCTTCTTACATTAAGTCTATGATCTTGGTTCTCAAGGATGCAGGAGAGGCAGGAGACAGAGGACACATGAAGCAGACATCACAACATTGCCTGAAATCCTCTGCCACCACAGGAATATTTTTTTCCTCATTCAAATAAAACAAGGCAGATATATTTCCTATGACTTTGGGTAAAGGGGCTTTGTTTTTGTTTCCAAAGAACTTGTTAAATCAAGATATATCTGTATTTGGTTAGTGTCACATCACTTTCCCCATAGATTTCACTTTTCTGCATTCTTTCACTTCTTGTCTCTCCTTATTATCTTTTCACTTCTCTTTCCATGATTCCATAAGCCATGTGTCAAACCATAGTGACACCTTGAATGTCTGTGTAGGAGGTCTTCGGAAGCCAAGGGGCAGAAAGAGCCAGGTAGCCAAATCTGAGGTTAGTGTGCAAGATCCAAGGCTCTGAAGGTAGAGGGTCCGTACCCCTAAAAAGAAAAAGGGAACTGTTTCAGGTGCTAAGAGTCCTGGGATAGCTCTCTTTCTGACTTGCTGAGCATCATATATAGGAAGACAAGCCTTCATCTTTAGAATCCTGTTTTCTCCAAGTAAATTTTACTTGAATCTTCTAAAAAGGAATTTCTCTACTCCATTCCTGAAAAGAAGACATTTATTTTAGTGCTTGTCTTTATCTGCCACCTATAATTTTGGGAGCTTTTTGACAAAGTAAGAAAGGATAGGGAGTTTAGAGGAAAGACAGGTAAAAGAAAATGAAGGCATTAACATTTTTCATTGCGTAAGAAAGAAGGTAAAGTTCTATGACTTTACTTGAGCTTGACATTTATAGATCTTCTTGATTTCCCTAGGCCCTTTTGTGAATTAATTATCTTAGAAGAATATTTTTTAAACTTACAGTTTAAAAAATTATAGGTAATGTTTTTATGTTATTCATTTCCATATATATGCACATATGTCCCTTTCACCCTCATCCCCTACCTAGAAAACTATCCCTTGTAACAAAGACGTTAAACAGGGTGAGGGGAGGCAGTTTATAAAAAACTAGCCAACATATGTACCAAGTCTGACAATAGATGCAGTATTTTACATCCATAGTCCCCCACCTCTGCAAAGAAAAGAGGGAATTATCACAGATCTTTTTTGAGACCAACCTTCATCATTATAATGATACAGTATTATTTCATTTCCTTTTTGGATCTTTCCACTTCCATTGTTTTTATTGTGTATAGTTTTCCTGACTTTCCCCCTCATTTCATTCTGAATCAGTTTATAGAAATCTTCTCTGGATTCTTAATATTTATCTGTTATATTTATGTACCATAATATATTTAACTATTTTCCAACCAGTGAGAGTCTACTTTGTTTCCAGTTCTTTGTTACTACCAAAAAAGTATTGCTCTGAATATTTTTTCTGTATTTGGGACCTTTTCTGTTCTAACTTTGACCTTCCTAATGCCAAGTCTGTCCCTATATCCACTGCGCCACCTAGCTTCCCAAAGTCTTTAAGTCTGCAAGTACTTTTTGTATTATACTTTTTTAGCACCATGGAGGGTAATAACATCCACTAATACAACCCCAAGGAATATTAAAATTAGGTGCGCTTCATAAGCAGTAAGTGTAAAGAAAGAGATTATCACAGAATCAGATCTTAGAATTGAGATACTAGTGGTATGACCCTGGGCAAGTCATTTCACTTCTGTCTGCTTCAATTTCCTCATCAGTAAAATGGGGATAACAAAAGTCCTTACCTCTTGGGTTTGTTGTGAAGACCAAATGTGACAAGAAATGTGATATTTGGTAAGTTGTTTTGCAAACCTTAAAGGACTATGTAAATACTGCCTATTATTATCTTCTTCCTCCTCCTCCTCATCTGTTAAAGAACTATCTGAAAACTGTACTCAATAAGGCCAATATGGAAATAGAAAATACTGTATTACTGCACCAATGTTGTTCAGGAAGTGGGTTTTTTAAAAAGTAATTTTGTTTTTCACACTGCCTGCAGTTGAAGAAGAGCCCAGGATATATTTGAATGGAGGGGAATACACTTACATTGGAAAAAGAAAAGCAAAATCCAGCTGACTAGATTCTTACTAGAACAAACTTTACTCCTATGTGGGGTTTATTTAGTTTGGCTTCTATGGTGCTTTTGTTGAAACAGCTATAAGGTAGCACAGCAGGATAATAAGGAAAATACTATTTCTAAATTTCTAGTGTAATTATTAATACTTAAGTATTCTAAGAAGCTGTGATTTCATTAGTGTGGGTATTTCAGTTCCTCTGTGACTTAATATAATTCTTTAAGAATTGTTGTGGCTGAAAAAAATCTGTTACCCTCCGGCCAGTGTGGTCACAAGCATATCCAAACTGAGTTGAGCTAAAGAGGAGCTGTGATGATTGCTTTTCATTCTTTTCAACCTCTGTTTGATGGAGGTCAGGTAGAAATGGTCCTAGATCCCACTATTATTGCTACTATTGTTATTTTTTTCTTTATCTTTTTTTGATAAAGTTCAGCTTGAGATGGTCCTGGGACAAGTTGCTTATTATG